CTATAAGGTGCTGTAGGGCTTCATAGAACCGGCCAATTTCATCCTCTTCAGCACCAGTGGTTGGGGCATAGATGTGGACTATTGTGATATTGAATGGTTTGCCTTGGATTCGAACTGAGATCATTCTGTCATTTTGGGGATTGTATCCCAGTATTGCTCTTCCTATTCTTTTATTGACTATGAAGGCTACTCCATTTCTTCTAAGGGATTCTTGCCCACAGTAGTATACCTGATGGTCATCTGAGTTAAATTCACCCATTCCTGTCCATTTTAGTTCGCTGATTCCTAAGATGTCGATGTTCAGTCTTGTCATCTCTTTTTTGACTACGTCTAGCTTGGCTTGATTCATGGATCTTACATTCCAGGTTCCTATGGAGAAAAAATCTTTACAGCATCGGACTTTCCTTTCACCACCAGATATATCCACAGCTGAGCGTCCTTTCGGCTTTGGCCCAGTCGCTTCACTCTTTCTGGTGCTACTAGTACTAGCCCTCTGCTCTTCCCCAGTAGCATATTGGACACCTTCCGACCTGAGGGGCTCATCTTCCAGCGGGCAAAGATACTGGAGTGGTTTGCCATTTCCTTCTCCAGTGGATCACATTTTGTCAGAACTCTCTGCTATAACCTGTCCGTCTTGGGTGGCCCTGCATGGCATAGCTTATAGCTTCATTGAGTTACGCAAGCCCCTTCGCCACGACAAGGCAGTAATCCATAAAGGGGATAGCTTATGTAGAGATTGCTAATTCGATGCCTTTCAGATGAGTTAGAACAATATATTATCCATATTTGCAGAAAATGTGGTTTAGAGAACCCAAACCAGGGTTTTCAGCATAAAGGCAAACTATAATTAAGGATTGTTTGATTTACTTTATTTTCCATCTATCAGCACATCTTTTTCTATGACTTCCAGTGGCAGAAGGGTGGCCATAATTATAGGTTATCAGTTAAGACAGCCAACATCATAATTATGTTATAGTTACACAAGAAATTGCAGGCCTTTATTAAAGAAATGGCTGGAAGAAATCCTGCTAATAGATATAGAGGCCAAACTGGAAGTTTTCCTACTGGGAATTATAGAAAAAAAATACAAGAAAGATACAAATTATTTATTACTGCATATAGTAACCGCGGCACGAATAGTCTTCGTTCAAAAATGGAAAGAGAAAGATATTCCAACCGAAGAGGAAATATTATTGAAAATCCTGAATTGCGCAGAATTGGATAGACTCACATTGGAACTTAAGGATCAAAGTGAAACTAAGTACTATAAAATCAGAGAACAATTTTATGATTGGATAGATAACAAGAGGGCAGCAAAGACAAATGTATAGTGTTAGAATATAATATAGATTACAGACAAATGTATATTTAAAAGAAGAACTATATGTCTATATGAGTACTAATGTTACTGTAAAGTGATGGAAGATGTATGGAACCAGTGACGTCATATCTATGTCCAATGTGTTTTTAATTTTGTATTATTAATAAAACTTCAATAAAATAATTAATAATAAAAAAAGAAATTGTAGGCCTCTCCAATAATTAAGGTTCCAATTTGCTAGATGACAATGGTCTGATCATATTACTACATCAATCTGGTTAAATTTCTTTTCTTACCAGGGGGTTAATTCTACCACAACCAGTTTCACAGAGATAATCACTCAGATGAATCAAAGAATCAGTCCAAAACTCCAGGCCCACATGAGTCCAAAAATGAACTCAGGTTTCATATATAAGCAGTCCCAGGTTCAAATCTGCAGGTACAACCCTCAATCATCCTGGAAAAAGTATGGGGCCAAGCAAATCAGGAGGTCTGCATGAAGCAACAATTAGCATCCTGCACGTATCATCTCACTCTTCTGATTTCCCACATGAAAAATCCCTCTCCTCCAACCCTAATATTTTGCCCAACATAGCCTCCCTCTCATCAGTATCATTTCCCTCCCTCATTGTACAACTTCTTCCACGCATTTGTATGTAGATTTTTGCCTTCACACTAACAATGTTTTCTTCCCAAGTTGACTTACTTATAACAGCAACAGCATCTATATGGTGCCTTCTCTTTCTGATGGGTCTCATCTTTGTTGAGAGAAGCGTATTTGCCTGGGGAAGATACAAATTACACACTAAATATAGGTTGGAGAAATCTATCCTATTTTAAACAGGCAAATATTGTTTGTATACTGTGGAGATTCATCTTTTATCCCCAGGAAGCCAGTACTGCCACCCCATATATTTAAATCCACCTAAGACATAGTTTAAACATAGTTTAATTTAATTATGTGTCACCTTAGCTATTGTGGCTTATTCAATACAACTTGGTTAGGATAAACTATAGCTTAGCATTATATACAGATGCAATCAGTGATAGCATTCACATAAACCCTAAACCTCTTGGGGCACGTTTAGTATAACATCTAGGCCCCTAGGTGTCTTTCTTAGCTTGATTTTGATTAGTTTACCTTAAGCGTAACCCAGTGGGCCATCTCAATCCGGTGAAATAGGGCAGATTATTATTATTTATTACATTTATGCATTGTCTATCTCACTCTGAAAAGCGACTCTTTTGGTTAAGCCGCCATTAGTCCTCCAGGAAAATGAGGCTACATTCAGGAGTGGCCTCATAGCAGAGCTTCTCCTGCATTTACAGGGACACACAAAGGTGGCGGTTTAGGCATAGCTGGAAGATTCAGGGGTTTTCTTCTTGGTAGGCAAGAACTAGACAAGGCTGCCAGACCTGGCTTGCATTAATCCACAGGACTATAAAAGATTATGTTTTTGTATTGCTCTTCTGGTGTCTGGTGGTTTCCAGTGCAGATCTGGTACCCCAGCCTAGACTAATTTGCCAGTCCGCAAAAAGGTTGCAGGGAAACCAACAAAAAAGAGAGAGACTCACAATAAGAAATAGTTGTGGGCCAAATTACACAGGTAATCAGATTTCCTAGATAACTACCTTGAGATACCTCAAAAGAGATGAGAAGCTGTATTCAGGCAAGTTACAAACTGGTACAGATGTATTGAAAGGTAATATGGTTTACAAAGGGAATTAAAATGAAATGTGCTGGTGTAAACTAAATTTTGCTAGCTTTCCTTTTTTCACAATGTCCATATAGCTAGTCTTAGCGAGCACTTAGTGACCATTCTAAATTATGCCAGATTCCCCCCCCCAAAAAAAAAACTACTTATGACCTGGTTCCAAAGTTATGATGTCTGCCCCCCTGTTCCCCCCCCCTCAGTAATGTGATTGCATTTTGGATACTTGGCAACCAATCTGCATTTATGGCTGCTTGCACTAACCTCTGTGAATGCTATTTATGCTTTTTTCTAGAAAGTGATATTTATTTCGTTTTGAAAAAAAAAGCCCCACAATGAACAATGGGCTCATTTAATGACCACAGCATTCACTTAATGATTGCTGCAAAAAAGGTTGTTAAATTGGGTCAGTTCACATGACCAGCTTTAAGATCCCCATGACATATGACCGTAATTGCCAGGCTCAATTATGGTCATAAGTTGAGGCTTACCTGTACTTACTTTTGCTTGCTGCTTTCTATACTTTTTCTGCATCTTACATGTTATTTACTCTCAAAAGGAGTAACATGATAGTATACAAATAGTTCTTGACCTATGACCACAATTGAGATCAGAATTTCTGTTACTAAGCAAGATGGTTGTTAAGTAAGCTACACCTCATTTTATGACCTTTTTGCCACAGTTGTAAGGCATATCACTGCAGTGTTAAGTGAATCATGGAGTTGTCAAGTGAGTATGGCTTCCCCCATTGATTTTTCTTGTCAGAGGTTGGCTGGAAAGGCTTCAAATGGTGATCACATCACTCCGGGATGCTCTTACATATATTCCAGTTACCAAATACCCAAATTTTGATCATATGACCATGGGGATGCTGCAACAATAGTGTGAGGACTGTTTGCTATGTCACTTTTTCAGTGCTGTTGTAACTTTGAACAGTCGCTAAAGAAAAGGTTGTAAATTGTGGACTATGATAGAATATACAGTTGCATATTACCGTTCATTTTTACCCTGGTAAACATTAAATTATGCATAATGTATCATGTATAACTGATTTTCATTTGAGGAAATATTCAATTCAGATTTGTACAATACTGCCTCTGTAACCTATGTCTCATTTTACATATCCAAAGACTCTTCAAAACACAACCTGAGTGCAACCTGCTATAGACATTTATCAAATCTCAGCAAGGTTTCCTCTTCATTCTACCCCTATTATAATTTCATAATTATTAAATTGATATTAATAAAAACATTGTTGCATAAAGATTTTGGATGATCACCTGTGAGTAATAGTATATTTAATATAGAGCAGTCTTCATCAATCTGTCTTCTAGATGTAAAACTTTATTTCCCATAATCTATCAGTCAGCAGCGTTTGGAAAGCTGAAGTCCAAAACTAACTTAAATAAACCCGCTACTGGAGCAAAATGAATTTAACGATGGATTAAAAGGAGCCAGGCTTCAAAAGTTAGCCTTGCTATGGACAGATCACAAATTACATAGATAAGATAAAATGGCACCACGATGCAGTGTATAAACCCGTCGAAAAGTCTGAATTCAGCCAAACCAATTGACAGCTATGAGGCTCCCGCTAGAGTTCTGACAACCGAATAGGCGGTGTCATGATTGGCTCCGCCCATTCAATTCTTCTTCTTATCCTCCTCCGCCTCCTCCCTCCTCTTCCTGTTTTCTGTCGTCTGGCGCAGGCGCGGTGCGGCCCTTTAAACGTGCGCAAGAAGTCCCAGCGATTACATTCTCTTGTTAGTTGTATCCTTCCGCCTTAGCCCTGAGGGACTTTTTATTTTGCTTTATTTTGCTTCTAAAGCTTCCAGTATAAATCAATTGCCTTTGACGAGACCTAGAAGTTTCAGTCTTTGTATCGGAAAGATTACTCTAGCCGGGTACGGTGACATCTCCAAGAGGTTCCTTTGAATCTTTAGAGGCTGGCGGAGGGAGACGTTTTGTTGTTGATGGGCAGCGGCTGTGGAGGATATTGAGAAAGTCCAAAATGGCGGTCGCTGCCAGTTCGAGGGGACCCGGCAGGCCTTGAATTTAGGGAGGGGAGAGAACAAGAGGGACTCTGGGCCCGGAAAAGTGCCGGGAGATCCTAGAGAGGAGGAGGGGTAAGGCTGAGCAACCGGGCACCGGGGAGAAACGCTCCGGCTGAGCGGCCTGGTTCCCCCGCCCGTTAGGCCTGGTGCTCGAGCGAGGAGGAGGAGGAGGGGCCGGGCATGGCCCCCTGAGGGGCCTCCCAGAGAGCAAGGAGCCGGTGGAGGGTATGGAGTCCAGAGAGGAGCCGGTGGAACAGAGCGAAGGGTCAGATCAAGGGACCTGGGGGGAGAAGGGCCCCCTTGGGGATCAGGGCGACTGGGTGTCCCGTGGGGAGAAGGGGGAGAGGGGAAGCCGGGGCTCGAGGGGGGAACGTGGCCTTTCAGGGGAGAGGGGAGAACATGGGGACTGGGGAGAGCGGACCTCCAGGATGGAGAAAAGTGAACGGACTCTGAAGGGTGAGCGGGCTCCCCGGAGTGACAAGACCGACCAGGGCGATGGGGGTCCCCGGGCTGATCGAACTCTTCGACTGCCTCGAGCGTCGGACCAGGCAGAGCGCGGCTTGTGGGGTGCAGAGCAAGGCGAGTGGATGGAGCGTGGCCCGTCCTGGGCTGGAGATCCCGATCCCCTGTTGCCTCCCGAGGACTTTTTGCCACCACCTGAGTGTCCTGTCTTTGAGCCCAGTTGGGCCGAATTCAGTGATCCACTAGGCTACATTGCCAAGATCCGACCCATCGCAGAAAAAAGTGGTATCTGCAAGATCCGCCCTCCCGCCGTAAGTACCAGCAAAGGCTTTTGGATTTTAGGAGAAACTGTCAGTGGGCAAGCAGAATCAGGATTTGGGGGTTAGTGTAAGTGATTCACAGGTACTTAGAGCTGGTGATGTGTTGTTGTTTTTTGAAAGAGATGTCTCTCCTGGTGAATATAATGAATTGGATGAAGGAATGTATTGGAGTGCTTGTCTGCCAGGATGAGGGTTACAGACTTGAACCAGTGTGTCTTTAGATCGGAAAGAGTTCTTGTGAGCATTTGTTGCTGAAGACAGTCATGGTATTGAGTTTGATACAAATGCAGTGTTTCTGAGGAAAAATAAGACTATTGTAATGCCTTGAAGAAATAACTGAACACAGGCATGGTTCAACGACAAAATAGAGTGTGTAGTAAAAGTTTACATGGCAGGCCCTGCTGACTAGAAATTTTGGTAGTTCAGTACATTTGAATGGCACCAAGTTGGGAAAGACTGTTTTATGTAATTGATGAGGGTTGAAAAATGTAGATGCTTCCCATGATGTAGTAGGACAAGTTGAATGTAGATATATGCAAGCAGTTGATGTGATACAAAACTGTAATGTGTGGTATAGTCAACACTCAAATATAGATTTGAATGCATTATGGGAGTATACTACAGGGATTTGTTTGGAATAATTGGCATATAAGAGCTTTGTGTTTTGATTCCAATAATCAAGTTCTATAGTTTTGTGTATGTAAATTGCTGTATCTGTGATAAGGGTGGTGCCTGTGTTCCTACGTAGCTGTTACCATTTTGAACAGCTTGCTCTTTCACCAAGCTGGAAAACTTGTATAGACGAGTGTCCTTCTGTTATTTTCCTCTACATCCTACAGCTAGGCCTCAGCTGCATGTAAAAAAAACAAACACCCCCCCCCCATTCTAATTAAGTGTAGCAGGAAAGAGGTTTTCCAAGTCTTTTCCTGCTGTATTTCTTGATGCAGAAAACCTAATTAAAGTAAAAAAAAAAAAGTCCATTGAATAATATTTTTGATTATTTCATAACAGGTCATCTGGTATGACTGCCAGTTGCAGAGCCTTTGTCTAAGAAGGAACAAGAGAAAGACAAGGAAATATTTGAGGAACTTGGTTTTCTTTTGTATAGCTACACTGCAGAAGATGCTGAAGTAGATCTCTTGTTCTCTGTTCCCAATTAAACTCTTTTGCCCATCTTTTTAATCCTCATTGAGAAGTCATTGTGATATTTTTAATTGGAGCAGCAAAATATTAGCATCTGCTTACTCAGTGCATATGGAGTAAGTTTAAATGAGTCTTTTTTTCCTATAGGCTGTCAATTATAGTTCAGGTTAGTCTACAACCTTCAAATCAAAAGTTTCTATCACAATTCAGTTGCAGGAGAACCTGTCTTGCTGGTGTGAGTCTTAAGCATTATAATGCTAAAGTATTATCCTGTTAGCAATATTTCATTTTTTTGCTTCTCTTGAAAGTACTAGGATGACTTAAAAAACATTGTTTAGCATTTCCTAATTTATTTTGATTTTAATTTATTTCAGTGTGTCTAACAAAAACAAATATAATTCTATCATGTTTGTGCTTTTGACATACAATTTAGCACCATGAAGATGCTCTTAAATTGAGAAACCAAGGCCTTTCCAACTTAATTTATCACCCTCTTTACTACAAACTAATAAATATTTCACTAAAAATATAAGAATATATATTCATGAAGTTCACCAGGCCTCACTATGATTCCAACTTCTAGAAATCAAAATTTTGCATAGTCAATTTGACTGCCTTCTGGTAAAGTTATTTTGAGACCACTGAGTCTTTCTCACACATGAATAAATAACCTTCGCTTCAGTAGTTTTTATCTGTCTTACTGTCTCCAGCAGTTCATGATGATAGTTACTCCATCTTTGAAGTGATTGCTTTGTACCAGAAAAGTAGATTTTGAATGTGTAATGCCTTGGGATATAATATTTTAGATTGGTTAAAGGGACATCAAAGTTATCCTTTCCTTTTTCTCAGGCTTCCTGTATATAAACAGTAAAGATGAACACGTTGCAGTGCTTGGTGTGCTCATGTTTTATTAGGAGGTGTTCATGCATTAAACTATGTTTCCTTCAAGTGTCAGTTTTACCTAAGTCTTTCTCTCTTCAGTATTGGATATTGCATACAGTAGATTGCTTCATTGCAAAACTAAGGGTTTTCATTGTCTCAGATTTGTCCTGTGGTAGTTTGTATAATCAGTTCTTGCACTTGTATTCTGTTAGCTGTGAAATTGAGTTCTAATTCTCTAGGGTTGTTTTCCGACTGAGAGTAGATTTTTGATTTAATTCTTAAACATGGTGTATATGTATTAACAAAAAGTGTTGGCTCTATTGCTATTAGCTGGTAAACAGACTTTGAAATGTATGATGCTGGGATTATAATTAATGTTGCCTTTCTGTTTCTTCCTCAGGACTGGCAACCTCCCTTTGCTGTGGAAGTGGACAACTTCCGGTTTACTCCACGGATACAGAGGCTCAATGAACTGGAGGTGAGTCCTTTGCAGAAGAGGTAATAGAATTGTAATGTGATGCTATTCACATTTCTTTACATTTACATAAATCATTTTACAAGAGAAGATACCAGGAGCTACCAATAAATAATAAATGTAAAAATACATTGGTATATAATTAAAAAAAACCCCAAATGCATTAGTTTTAATCAACTGTTATCCACCGGTCGGACTGCCATTGAAAGAATTGACTTCAAAAATTGTGTCAGGTTGCCTGTTTATATAAACATAAATAAATGGTTTTATGATTTATTTCAAAGTAGTTCTCTGTCTCTGTTTGTATGTAATCTATTTAAAGGAGAACACTTGTAGCTCAGGGCTGAAATTTATTTATTTATTTATTTATGAGACTTATATACCGCTTTAAGTGCAAGCACTCTCTAAGCGGTGTACACCAGTAAGCAATGTATATATATATTTACATTGCCCCCAACAATCTGGGTCCTCATTTTACCTACCCCGAAAGGATGGAAGGCTGAGTCAACCTTGAGCCGGTGAGATTTGAACCGCTGACCTGCTGAACACAGGCGGGTCCTTGGTGCTCTCCCAGCTTGGTTGTTTTCTTGCAGACATTTCATTACGCAAACTAGATAATATCAGTGCTAGACACTCATTTAGCACTGATGATGTTACCTAGTTTGGGTAATGGAAAGATCTGTAAGAAAACAGCCAAGCTCAGAGAGCACCTAGGATCCCCTCAAGTATTTAATTATCCAGGTTTTTATATTTTTGACTGGATTTTTTTGCAAAATGTTTTGGCTTGCATTTGTATGAAAGGAGTGTGTGTATCTTAGACAATACTTCTTAAATAAGCTTGCATTCCATGAATAACTTCTGTTAAATGACAACAAGAAATCTCAACATCTTTTTAGGATGAATGTATTTGTTAGATAAGTTTCCTAGCTTTCCTTAAGGCAGTATATCCTGTCATCCTTTTCTCCAATTTTATTCTCACAATATCATCCTTTTCAGGTATGTTAGACTGGGGTCCCCAACCCCCGGGCCGCGGCCCACTATTGGGCCATGGCCTATTCGCAACTGGCCTGCGGGTCAGTGCACACGTAAGTGTGCAGCTCGACTCAGGAAGGCCGGTGAATGCACATATGCGCACGTACATCAAATTGCAGTCGAGCTGCGTGTGCGTGTGTGTGTGCGTACCGTCCCTCTATTTGTGTTTGCTTGCATGGCCTGGTTCCCCTCTTCCCCCCCCCCCAGCTGGGCTGCCAAGTCGCTGAGGGACAGTGACTGACCCTCTGAATTTCCACAACTTGAGAGTAGACTTGAATTTGGACTTCACTTGTCTTAATCCAACAACTTATCCATTACACTGATATGTTCCTCATGAGATAATTAAACATATGAATCTTGGCTCTGTAGATAGAAAAGTTAAAAGTTTTGGTAATGCACATGTCCAAAATATATAGTCCTTTCTTCTTACTTGGTTTTGAAAACCATGATCTATATCCAGTTATTATAGTTTAGAATGGCCAGATATTGGCATGTTACTTCATTGTTCAAAAGGAAACACTTTTTGGGGGATAAATAACATGTAGCCCCTGTTACAGGAAATCTCCCAGGTCCCAAACCAGTTCAGTGTGTGCATATATACTATTTTCAACTTCATTAAAATTTGGTGTTGCTGGTATGAAGATATATTGAAAGATGTATGGTTAAATGGGGAGCCATTATAAGTTACTGGCTTGAGAAAGGCTAACTTCTATTTATTCCATTACCAGGCACAGACCAGGGTAAAACTGAACTATTTAGACCAGATCGCAAAGTTCTGGGAGATTCAAGGTTCTGCACTGAAAATTCCCAATGTAGAGAGGCGTATTCTTGATTTGTACAGCTTGAGTAAAGTAAGTTATAATTACATTCTTCCCAAAAAGAATTCTAGGGAAAGTTAAATTTTTGTATTCAAGCTAATGGGGTTAATTACTGACACTGGCAGATTCAATGACGATTTATCTGTGCTATTGATGAGTCTTGGTAAGTTGTTGGTCTTAGTTTGGAATTGGGGATAAGAAAAATTAGGTACCTTATTTAAATAGGTGTATGTTCATGTGATTGCAAGCTGATAATTTGTAGTGTTTCAATATTCCTATATTTTTAGATTGTGATGGAGGAGGGTGGATATGAAGCCATTTGCAAGGATCGCCGGTGGGCACGGGTGGCCCAGCGACTTTCCTATCCATCAGGGAAGAATATTGGTTCCCTTCTTCGTTCCCACTATGAGCGTATTATCTACCCATATGAAATGTACCAGTCTGGTGCTAACCTGGTGGTGAGTATTGGGTCTCAGAGTATAAAGTTCTCCTGTAATTTAATTTCACGTTACATTTCCTCCGCAGATGTAGTACATGAGTACAAGAAAACTCCTTTTTCTAAATAGACTCCCTTTGCACATTGTTTCCTACTCTGGGAAGGAAATAGCTTGCTAGGGAAGATGGTGGGCTCATGCCTAGCCAGGAAAATCATATCTAAATTCATCATGCTTTTGTTCTGCCACAAGATAATTGGGTTAGGCCAGGGGTGTCAAACTGCTGGCCCATGGACCAGTTGCATCATGCTGAGGCCGTGCCCACCCAGCTCCGGCAATGCAAAAGAAGTCACACTACGTCATGACACATCACATGATGCGTCAAGTTTGACACCCGTGGGTTAGGCCCTTGCTTTTTAATGCCTAGTGATGAGCAACGGGAGCAGGGAAACGCTCTATTCAGTGTTAATGCTATTCTTTCCCCCAGCAGTGCAATACTCACCCATTTGATAATGAAGAGAAAGACAAAGAGTATAAGCCTCACAGCATCCCATTGCGCCAGTCAGTACAGCCTTCCAAGTTCAACAGCTATGGGCGGCGGGCCAAGCGACTGCAACAGGAGGTGAGTGTCTCACACACCTTCAACCCTAATTACAGTTTTGTTTTTGGTTGGACCAGTTCATCATTTTGGGAGCAATTGTACACACCCTGTGCTCTGACTCAACGGAAAGTCTTATTTTTTCCTCAAGTTTGGGATAGAAGCCCTTAAATGTCAAAGAAGTCTCATCTGGGCTTCTGGAATCTTTTTTAATTCCCCCAAATTGTGATTTTAAATGCAACAGGAGAGTTTTTAAACATAAAGGATATAATCTTTTAAAATATATTTAATATAGTTTATCCCATGGTTCAGTATGATCTGCCCGCTCTCTGAAATTATCTGAAGAGATTTGCATAGTATTCATCTTTTCTATCATAGTGACTTGGGGTTAAGCTCAAATGGTGTAGCTCTCCAAACCATTTTTTAAAAATAATTTGTACTGTGTATTACAGTGGTTCTCAACCTTTTTAATGCCACGACCCCCAACTGGTCGTAAGTCGAGGACTACTCAACTGGTGCAGCACCGTTTGCAGAATGGGACTTTTGGCGGGCTCAGCAGGGCAGAGACAGCCTGGACAATTCCTATTGGCTTTTGAAAGCTAATAGAATTAGATTCTATTCAAGAGAGTCTATTCTATTGGCTTTCAAAAGCCAATAGAATAAAAGGGAGTAGCACAGCCAAGGAAAAGGGGGGAAAAAATGGTGGACTGTGTTGTTTGGTGACCCTCGTGAAATGGTCGTTCGACCCCAAATGGGGTCCCGACCCACAGGTTGAGAACCACTGATGTATTACGATTAAAAAGATAAAAACTAATATGAACTAAAAAATAAGGGAATAAAAAGAAAAAATAGAAAGCGTAGGGACAAAAAGAAAAATAGAAAAAAAATAGAGATAAATAAATGACTACCCCCCCCCCTTTATGACAAGTATAAATGAGTTTGGTAACTTATCACCTTCTCTTAAAATATATCAATGGTCTTTTCCATATCCTTTGTCTATAAACAAGTATTTAAAACCGCATCTATTTTAAACTCGATCAAATAACCAACTTTATATTCTTTCCTGTTACTGTTAGCAATCTTGATCCTCAGTTCCCTTAAACCAAGGGTAGGCAACCTTGGCTCTTTTATGACTCGTGGACCTCAACTCCCAGAATTCCTGAGCCAGCCATGCTGAGGGGGGTTTCCAAGTTCAATATAAGAAAAAGTCATCCAGATTGCTCTTTTGGTTTGTTGATACATCAGCCAGTTTCATTAGTATAGCCAGTGTAACATCTCCTTCCACATTGTTACATTAGCTCATCATTTTAAAATCTACTTTCAAACCAGTCTCAGTGTTATCCAGTGAAACGTGCTCCTCTTTCATAAAGTCTGTTTGTACAGGCAGACGGTCTTAAAATTACCTTCTGAATCCCTTGTTCACAAATATCTTTCAATACATCCAATGTTAAAGTATTTTGCTCCATTCCATATTAGTAAGTCAAATTTAAGTGTTCTTTTCCTTTAATTGTAATCTTTAGTTCTCTTGAGCCTCCTCTAGTATCCAACCTTCCAAATCACATCTTATCGTATTTTTTAAAACATTCAAAATAACAGCGTATGCGTAATGTCCTTTCAAAGGCACCAACTGTGAGTTGAGCAAGATAGCTGTTCCTTTGTCTTTTAAACTCATAATAATAGCCTGCTGTCATGTTATCTTCTTGCAATGCTTGTGGGCGAGCCAAAGCCCCCTCTGTCAGTTTGCCATTTCTTCCCTGGAAGTCCACCACTCCAGATGTATATGTGTGCTCACCATGGGAAGGACTACATTGTTTTGTTAAAAAGGCCTTTAAAACCAATATTTTTTCAATAGGTTTTTAATTGTTGAAGAATGCATGCACACATATTCAATGTTTCTGGTTTTAACTTGGTGCTTTGTTTGTTTGATGTTCTTAATTACAAAGAGGCTTCAGCAGTCAGTGATGTAAACATTGAATAAATATAAACAATTCCACATTAAATGTAAATGAAAGCAAGATTTTGTCACATGTGGCACCTGGCATTTCACTTCAGGATTAAGTTGATCTTCACAAACTTAAGTAACACCACGATGGATAAAAGCCTGGAATGTATATATAAAGTTTTTTTTTCTTTCGCATAATGGATGCTTCTTTCCCCCTTCCTCTTTGTATTTATGGTTTAACGATTTAGTTGTAAGCCTTTTTGATTCATAGGTATTCATCAAATGTTTGGGGAACGTAAGAGCTTATGGCTGTATCTGTATTTGTTTTTAAAGGAAGAAAGCATAACTATCAATTTTGCATCAGTTTAAGGAAACATTGAATCTTGTAATTATATATTCAGTGGGTAAAATTCAAGGATAGGTATACAGGCCTTCAGATAAAGATACAGTCCTGCATTTTTGGTTTAAATTATTCTGAACAATTAGTAAGTGGTTTTCCAGAGATTAGTAGAATGTCAATTCTCCTGCTAGGAATGTGCACCTGGAGCTTAGTCTCCAAGTGTATTTCCAGTGGAAGATTGAATGCAGGGAGGCATCCTTCTTTCCAAATTAGAAAAAAACAAGTGTGCATCTCATATGCGGATTCTTACTATAAAATCTGAAACTTACCTGTAAACCCTGATGCCATCATTCCATACCCCAAGTCATGAAAGTGAATTAGAATCCCAATCTTTTCTACAAAAGCTTTTACTGAAAAGCTGACCAAACTATATTACCGTATTTTCCGGCGTATAAGACGACACCCGACTTCAGCGCCGATTTCCACGCTTTAGAAAGTCTTCTTATACGCCAGAAAATACGTGTGTCTGATTAATTTATGTTAAAGGGAGGAAAGGCAACATTCAAAGTTATTTTTAAAGTTTTTCTTAGTTCCTGAATTCCTTCATGCTTCTGTTCTTCCTCTCTAAAATAGGAAATAAAATGTCATTGTGCTTTCTCCCCTTGTCTTCAAAATGTTGAACATTTTCAAAGTCCTAAACCTCATGTCTTCTGTAGTTATTGTAACATTTCCATTTGTTAGCTCTCTTGTTGTAAAACACCATAATCCTTATACTTTTATAATAATAATAATAATTCATGACATTTATATGCCACTCAATTCTTAGTAACTCTAGGCAGTTAAGGGGAAAAGGTATCCAGCTTCTCCATTATGATCCAATAATGATTTTCCTTTTTATTTCTCTTGCTGATGCCCTTTCTACTATTCCTAGAGACCTGTTGATCCCCAAACCCCACACATTTTGTCGCCCTCTTACAGGAATCCGACTCATACCCTGAACCTGCGAGTTCCCCAGCTCTGTTACCTGAGCAAGCACATCAAGCATGGGTACTGTTCCTGTTCTGTCCACCTCTGCTGTCTCTCTTTCACTCTATTTATTTGTCCTGCTTCGTGGCTTGAAGTCCTCAGACCCCATCCAGCAGAAGATGTGGCTTAAATGTCTCAATGTGCACTGTTTTATTTCAGTGTGCAATGCATTCTAGGAAAGTCTCACCTTGTTGGTGGTATCTAGCCAGAGGCTTGATCCAAAAAAGACAACATTTCTGTCATAGGTCACGACCTCAGCAATCTCTGTCATTAACCAGTTGTCCTTCTGCAATTAGTTCTCCTTTCTCCAGGACTCAATTTATTGCTTGTTCTTTTTCCTCCTTCTGCTGCTGCTGCTTTCTGAGAATCTTTGGAACACAATTTTTAACATTCATGGCTTCATATTGTCATTCTGTCCTAATTGTATCTTTCTTGCAGCCAGAGCCAACAGAGGAAGACATTGAGAAGAACCCAGAATTGAAGAAGCTGCAGATTTATGGCGCTGGCCCTAAGATGCTGGGACTGGGGCTTGTAGCCAAGGACAAGAACATGCGCAAGAAAGGTGGGACTGGAGGGCTAACCCCACAATTAGGGAGCCAAAGGAGAAGTTTGTTCTCTTGGTTCTAAGTTTATGTCTTCCTAATATAGACAAGGAGATGCCTGAATGCCCCCCAACAGTGATAGTAAAAGAGGAAGCTCCTGTTTCAGAAGTGAAGCTGGAACCCCCTTTACCCCGAGGCTATGCAAATATGAAAGAAGAGTTGAGGCACAGTCCAGAACCTTGCACCAAGATGACCATGCGCCTCCGTCGCAATCACAACACTCAGTTTGTAAGTTTGCGTTCTCACTTCAGATAAGTTCTGCGCTCTCTCTTTCTCTCTCTCTCTCTGTTTTTTTTTTTTTGTAAAAATTGCCCCCCCCCCACCATTATCTGTAATATATCCATGCTGGCCAATGAAAATTACTAGCTGGCAATTGTGAACTCTTGTCATAACATCCATAGCCTTCTGCCGCCTTAAAAAATGCATGAAAGGAAATAATAGTTCTGCTGAATTTTTGCTTATTGTCCGCCTTTGAAGTAGTCATTGCCTAAAAAAGAGAAATCATTGGGTATATTTAAAACACCTGTAGGAAGTCATTAGGAGTCAATGCATGAAGGCATCTCCCAAAAATATTGAACAAAACAATCTGCAGTTGCTTTTGTGTGTAAAACAGCATTTCTTATAATTGCTCCTCTTTTAGATTGAATCTTACGTTTGTCGGATATGTACACGGGGAGATGAGGATGACAAGCTGTTGTTATGTGATGGCTGTGATGACAACTATCACATCTTCTGCCTCTTGCCTCCTTTACCTGAGATCCCTAAAGGTGTCTGGAGATGTCCCAAATGTGTCATGGCGGTAAGGAAGCTTTATTTGCCTTTGACAAGCCCAGAGGAACATTCTTGCCTCACCAGATCATCTGGGTTTGAACGTCATCATCTATAGAGAGAGATCCAAGAATTAAGATTTGAGCTATTGATTACACAATTATTCGAAAGCAGAATATGGGCTCCATTGATTATTGTATGGGTGGGCAAAAATAATTCCTGCCTTGTGAATCCTTTCTCACATTTCCCCTGTTTTTTCCTTTCCCAGGAGTGTAAACGGCCCCCAGAGGCTTTTGGCTTTGAGCAGGCCACTCGGGAATACACACTACAGAGCTTTGGGGAGATGGCAGATTCTTTCAAGGCTGACTACTTCAACATGCCAGTCCACGTGAGTTCTCCCTCTTTTGCTGTGAGCACAGACAAATAGTACCAACTATGGTTTTATTTATTGTGTTAATATCCCATCTTCCTTCCAGAGACCCTCAAGGTATTTATGTACAAGAATCTCTTCATTTTATCAGCAGTAGCCATGTGAGGTGGGTGGGCTGACAGAAAGTGATAGATCAGTTATGGTTAGGTGTGAACTGGAATCTGGATCTTTTTTTGTTCTTAGCCTCCACCTTACAACTCACACTTGGCAATTTCATCGTAGGTATTTCTAGTTTCCTGTAACTGAGGATATAGAGTCCGTGGTGCTGACTGCCTCTCCTGTTTCCTCCCCCAGATGGTGCCAACAGAGCTTGTGGAAAAGGAGTTCTGGCGCTTGGTGAACAGCATTGAGGAAGATGTGACGGTGGAATATGGGGCTGACATTCATTCCAAAGAATTTGGAAGTGGTTTCCCCATCAATGATGGCAAAAGGCAGCTCTCTCCAGAGGAAGAAGTAGGTCCCCTTTGCAAGGCAGCAGTCTCCCTTTCCCTGTGTTTGGAGCTTCTTGTTCTGCCCCCCACGGCCCACCGATTGTGGTCGGCCCCACCGTCTTTCTTACCCTTTGCCTTGCCTTGCAGGAGTATGCAGCCAGCGGCTGGAACCTCAATGTGATGCCAGTGCTAAAGCAGTCAGTGCTGTGCCACATCAATGCTGACATTTCGGGCATGAAGGTACCGTGGCTGTATGTGGGCATGGTGTTCTCTGCTTTCTGCTGGCACATCGAGGATCACTGGAGTTACTCTATCAACTACCTCCACTGGTGAGACTTCAGGAGGGAGGGAAAGAAATCTGCCATCTGGAGCAACTTTTTGATAGTGAAGTGCAGGTAGTCCTCGACTTACCACAATTCGCTTAGTGACCGAAGTTTCAACAGGACTGGAAAAAGTGACTTATGATCATTTTTCATACTTAACGACCATTGCAGCACTCCCATGGTCACATGATCAACATTCAGACGCTTGGCAATTGACTCGTTTTATGACAGTTGCAGTGTCCCAGGGTTATGTGATCCCCTTTTGTGAACTTCTGACAGACAAAGTCAGTGGGGAAGCCAGATTCACTTAACAGTCATGTTACTAACTTAATGATTCACTTAACGTCTGTTAACAGAAGAAAAGTTGTAAAAGCTCATTTAACACCTGTCTTGCTTAACGAGAGAAATTTTGGGCTCAGTTGTGGCCATAAGTCAAGGACTACCTGTAGTGATAATTTCCACAAATGGAAATAGCATAGCAGTTCATTAAACTAGCTAGAATTCAAAACTGCATTTTTTATTTGTACAAGAGGAAAAATAAATTTAAAGAGAAGATTAGTGAAGTCAAGAAGACTAGTGAAGTAAAGTTTGTATTTAATGACATTTTGTATACGACTGGACGTTTTAAAGTATGTGGCTCTTCAGCGTTGCATTTATGTTTCTTAATGACCCTGATTAGCATCGCTGGCATTTGGTGGCAAGCCCCTGAAATCTTTAAGTATGGCTTTGAATTGCAAAAATTTGCTCCCTTTTGATTTAAGGGGACTATAAATGGACTCTCCGTTAAAAAAAGTGTTCGGAAAGAATAATCCCAGTACTTATCTTCCAATGACAGTGTTTCAGTTTTCTCTCCCTTTTTTGGACAGTATTCTCTGACAAGCTTATTTTTCTAGGGGTGAACCTAAGACTTGGTATGGGGTCCCATCCTTTGCAGCTGAACATTTGGAAGATGTTATGAAGAAACTGACCCCAGAGCTTTTTGAAAGCCAGCCAGACCTGTTGCACCAGTTGGTGACACTCATGAACCCTAATACACTCATGGCTCATGGCGTCCCTGTGAGTCACCTTTACATGCTTGGGTGTACCTTTTTCTCCTCTAGAATATAGTCCCTGCTCTCATTGTTTCTCTTTTGCATCTGTAGGTCGTCCGGACCAATCAGTGTGCTGGAGAGTTTGTAATTACCTTCCCTAGAGCTTATCACAGTGGCTTCAATCAGGGCTACAACTTCGCGGAAGCAGTTAATTTTTGCACTGCTGACTGGGTAAGTTTATAACCAGCAGGAATTTCTCATGTTTGCTTTCATAATTCTTTAATGGCCACAGTGGTAACACAGAAGAGGAGTGCAAAGCGGAAAATCGGGTTTGCAGCTCATAGTTCTCAGCTGTAAAAGTTGTGCGTGGGACCAAAATTCTTCATATACTTCTAGATTTCTTTTTTCCCCCTCTCTGCCTCATACTCAGTTGCCAGCTGGTCGCCGGTGCATTGAGCACTATCGGCGCCTTCGCCGTTACTGTGTCTTCTCTCACGAAGAGCTTATCTGCAAAATGGCTGCTTGCCCTGAAAAGTTGGACTTGAACTTGGCGGCTGCTGTACACAAGGAGATGTTTATCTTGGTCCAGGAGGAGCGTAAATTGCGGAAGGCTCTCCTTGACAAGGTGGGTCGATATGGCACGTGAATACTGTCGGAAGCCAGAATTAGTTGGGCAAGATCAAGCCACTCATCAATTTTCTCTGCTGCCCCAGGGAATCACTGAAGCAGAGCGAGAGGCTTTTGAGTTGCTTCCAGATGATGAGCGCCAATGTGACAAATGCAAGACAACCTGTTTTCTGTCGGCGCTGGCTTGCAACGATTGTCCAAATTGTCTTGTCTGCCTTTACCACATCAATGACCTCTGCAAGTGCCCCAGTAGCAGGCAGTACCTCAGGTGAGTAGAAACGTGGGGGTCTTCCACGAATGAGTCACCTTAAGTTAAAATACAGTCACTTACTGGGTTAGATTTGTATGACTGCCTTTCACCAAAAGGTACTTCGGGTGACTTAAAATGTGTAGGGGCATAAAAATAAGGAACTAGAACATACAGTACAGTACGACGATCTTTTGTATATTGTGTCTCCCATCCTCAATAAAATTCTGAGGCAATTGTAGACTTCAGCCATCGAGACATGAGTAGACTGGGAGACCCTGAGCCACAGGTGCCTCCTTTATTTATTCATACTGGGCTAGTTGAAGAGAACCCTCCTCCCTAATCAAGTTGGTCCAGAGTAATTTGGGAAGGGCTGTTCTAGTGGTTCTTTCATGTATGTCTGAGGAACCAGTTATAGGTAGTCCTTGACTTATGACCACAATTGAGCCTAAAATTTCTATTGCTAAGGGAGACAGTTAAGTGAGTTTTGCCCTATTTTACGACTTTTCTTGCCACAGTTGTTAAGTGAATCACTGCAGTTAAGTTAGGGGCACAGTTAAGTGAATCTGTCTTCCCCGTTGACTTTGCTGGTCAGAAGATCACAAAAGGGGATGATCTCAGGACACTGCAACCGTCATAAATATGAACCAGTTGCTGAGCGTCTGAATTTTGATCACATGACCATTAGGATGCTACAGTGGTTGTAAGTGTGGAAAATGGTCATAAGCCGCTTTTTTAAGTGCCTTTGTAACTTTGAATGGTCACTAAATGGACTATTGTAAGTCGAGGGCTACCCATATCGCTTAATACAATATGGAAACAGGCCAGTGTTGTGAGAAGGCATTGCTTGTGGCCCTGACTGAAGTACGTTTACCGTTTTTCTGCTCTGAATGTCCTTCCTCATTCAGGTATCGGTATACTCTGGATGAACTCCCAGCCATGTTACATAAATTAAAGGTCCGAGCCGAATGCTTTGACACATGGGCCAACAAAGTTCGCATTGCTTTGGAAGTGGAAGATGGACGCAAGAGAAGTAGGTGGTTCCCTCCCCCCCCCGCACGCTCCTTGATTCTGGGGTCTTTTAAGAAGTTAATCCCTGAGGTCTTGGTGGAGGAAATGTACATATACCTTTGAGGCCCTGTGTAATTGCTATCAGATTTGTTCAGGCATGTTGTGAGGAGAACCTGAATCCTTATGGATTATATGCTTGGGAGAATGGGAATGGGGTTAGTAGCGTTGAGTCCTAGGAAGGGGCTTCTGGGTGAAAAGGAACTACTGAGTCTGGAATGGGAGAAATAAGGAAGCAACGGAGGGTCAGATGACTGTCTTTGATAAAATTCAAGCGCCTTGCTTCTTCCAGGGGGTTGGGAGTAACTGGTACAGTTGGACCAATCAAATGGGTCTGGATGCCACCATGTTCTGTGCTTTTTACAGCCTTGGAGGAGTTGCGTGCCCTGGAATCAGAGGCACGTGAGAGGAACTTCCCTGAGAATGAACTTCTTCATCGGCTCAAAGCCTGTCTGAGTGAAGCGGAGAAGTGTGTCTCAGAGGCCCTGGGTCTGATAAGTATCCAAGAAACAGAGTGAGTGCAGAGAGTCGGTTTTAAGTAGAATTGTATTGATAAGACAAGATGCCGTACAGAATCCTTTCACTCAGTTAAAATCACCCATTGAAGCCTTTGGCAGCCCTTTTAGAGTACCTTTCTTGCTTTTGTTTTCTGGTAAATAATTATCCTTTTCCGGAAGCCTTTTCTCCTGTTCAATGGTGTTCTCTTTATCTGTTTGGTATTTTCACGTCAAGCTGCTTTCCAGATTATTTTCTGGAATTATAATGAAACATGTCCCACTTTTTTCCTACTTAATTTTACAGAGAGTCATCAGTCCATATGACAGTAGAGGAATTACGTGCCTTCCTAGAGCAAATGACAAACTTGCCCTGTGTCATGCACCAGATAAAGGAGGTCCAGGTGAGCAACAGAGGGTTATGGTACAATTGTTGATGATCACAATAAAGGGAGGACTTAGTACTATGTCTGGGTGGCACACTGGTTGCACAAGTGGGTTGGCTGTGATTGCCATGTGTCGTTTTCTAGGATGTGTTGGAGAAGGTGGAAGCTTTCCAGGTGGAAGTGCAAGAGGCCCTACAAGATCTTTCAGGCAATTCCCCAGAGTTGCACAAACTACTGGCACAAGGAACACGATTAGGGGTGGAGGTGCCAGAGATGGAGCTGCTGGAGAGGCAGGTGCAGCAGGCAGTCTGGCTGGAAGAGGTCAAGCAGACTCTGCGTTCACCCCAGGATAAGGTTATGCTATCTGTCATGAGAGCACTCATCACCTCTGGCTGTGGACTTGCCCCTAGTCCTGCTGTGGATAAGGCGATGGCTGAGTTGCAGGAGTTGCTCACTATTGCTCAGCGTTGGGAGGAAAAAGCGCAAATGTGCCTGGAGGCTAGGTAAGCTTAAGTTGTGGGGAATCCCAGAGGGGGTTCATCCCAATTTAGCCAGGCGTTGCTTTATAGAGATGCCCCGTGATAATTTATTTGACATTCCTGCCCACCCCTGATTTCTTGCAGGCAGAAGCATTTGCCAGCTACGCTGGAAGCCATCATCAAGGAGGCAGAGAACATCCCGGTGCACTTACCCAATATCCTGTCACTCAAGGAGGCACTGTCTAAAGCACAGGCTTGGATTGCTGATGTGGAGGAGATCCAGGTGGGTTGTAGTCTTTGGGCCTGGGGCAAATGGAACTTGACCTGGTTACTTCACCTCTACAGACTGTGCTGTGTCCTCTTCACAGAATGGAGACCATTATCCCTGCCTGGATGACCTGGAGGGCCTTGTGGCTGTGGGTAGAGATTTGCCAGTGCACTTGGAGGAATTGCATCACTTGGAAGTACAAGTAGTTACTGCACATTCCTGGCGGGAAAAGGCCTCCAAGACCTTCCTCAAAAAGAACTCCTGTTACACGTTGCTTGAGGTTAGGGGGTGCTTTTTGAACTGGTGGCGATAAAAGCCTCACCTCGGAGGCAAAAGCTTCATTCTTCAATGTCTTCCTGTCAGGTGCTGTGTCCGTGTGCTGATGCTGACTCAGATAGTGTCAAACGCACTAAATGGCAGCGGGAGAAGGAGCCAGGACTCTACAATTCAGACACAGAGAGACTGGGCCTCTCAGCACAGGACCTCAGGGACCCTGGCTCTGTTGTGAGTAGCTGGCTTAGAAAACGTGGGGGTGTTGCTGAGACTAATACAGTGCAAGACTTTTTATTCTTGGATGTGCTATTCTAGCTTAGCCGGATTGGTCATCTCAAGACAAAATGCTTTTAACCTGATAAAATGGTCAAGCTCTAGGTACCGGTGAGGACAGAATTCAGCTAAAAAATTTGCAAGAACTATTGTAAAGCTGAAAAGAATTGAGGCAAAACTGCACACAGAGGAAAGATTAGTGTTAGGAGAATCATGCAGATGGGAGAATTGGGAGATGAGGTTACAAATCTCAGTGATTGCTAATTGCTTTTTGAAGTTGTGTATTTTACTCAATGCCATGCAGCCCGCAATACACCAAACAATATAAAAAGAATATAATACGAAACAAGCCAGAGAAAAAGTAGCGTATGCTTTGTTGGGTCAAAAGGGTCCAGAGAATCACAATCCTTCATCTTGTGTCGGCAGATCTTGGTCTTCAAAGAAGGCGAGCAGAAGGAGAAAACAGGGATCCTACGCCTACGGCAGTCGAATTCCCAGAAGCCCGTGCCGTCCGTGCATAGTCCTTCTGGGATCCAGTACTGTGTGTGTTCCCAGCCTCCCAGCCCTGCTATGTTGCAGTGTGAACTGTGTCAGGACTGGTTCCACACCACCTGTGCAGCTTGGCCTCGCCTGGGCAATCCTCGGCCTTCTCCGGCATGGTGGGAGTGGGAAGCCAAATTCCTGTGTCCTCTGTGCCAGCGGTCCCGCCGGCCCCGCCTGGAGACCATCCTGGCTTTGCTGGTGGCTCTGCAGAAACTTCCGGTCCGGCTGCCCGAGGGAGAAGCCCTGCAGTGCTTGACCGAGCGAGCCATTATGTGGCAGGACCGCGCTCGCCAGCTCCTCGCCTCCTCCGATGTAGTTGCTGCCTTGGGACATTTAGCTGAGCTACGGCAACGGCTGCTTGGGGACTCGGCCAAGGACGCAGGTGCACTCAAAGAGAGCAGCTGCAATGAACAAACAAAGGTGAGTGCAGGAGATGAGCTCTCTTCTGGTCTGACTAGTCCTCTCCAGTGGGAAGGTCAGGCCGACGCCAGGTGTGCTGCACACGTTTCTTGAGGACAGGATTTGAGGCAGGGCCTTGCCACGTGAATCCTTTGCAGACGTTTGCCTGTCTGCTGCGTTTTGGAGGGGGGTGGGTGGAAAAAAAGTCATTAATGAAAGAACCAGAGAGATTTGAAGCAATTGTTAATCTCCTTTTACAAAAGCATTTATTGTAAGGGGAAACCAGGTAGGGAAGAGATTTCTCTCACCACTCCTGCATTTTGTCTTGTAATATAAAATAACGTATCTGTACTTAAAGTCAAATAATTAGGAGTTACTTATTTGATGTCTATACAGGCAGTCTTTGACTTAACAACAGTTCATTTAGTTACCGTTCGAAATGAACAATGGCACTAAAAAAAGCGACTTCTGACTGTTTTATCTCACAACTGCTGCAGCATCCCCATGTGTCATGTGATTAAAATCTAGACGCTTGACAACTGACTCATATTTGTGACAGTTGCAGTGTCCCGGGGTCATATGATCCCACCTTTTGCAAACTTCTGACAAGCAAAGTCAATGGGGGAAGCCAGGTTCACTAACTCTGTTATTAACTTAACAGCTGCAGTGATTCACTTAACAAATGTGGCCGGAAAGGTCATAAAATGAGGCAAAACTCAATTGTCTCGCTTAGCAGCAGACAGTTTGGGCTCAGTTGTGATTTGTAAGTTGAGGACTACCTCTAATTGCCCAGCTCAACAATTTAGATGAGCTCATAAAGCCAGTAAACATACATGGGCCCCACAGACACACAGGCTTGCTGTTCTGCCCTCACTGTGCTGTCCGCATTATTCCATTCATAATAGAAATTGCCATTGGCAAAATTTCTCAAAATCCAGCACTTCCTGCTTCTCAGACCAATTCTTCTCTCTCTCTCGGGCTTGCAGGCATCTTGATCTCGGCCCTTTTGTTTTTTTAAATAAGCTCCTTGCCTGCTAGTTTCTCAAGAGCACTGTCTACTTGGTTCTGCTTTCTTTTAAACGCTCTTTCTCGACTCTTCCCCCTTAACCTGCAGTTCATATTCTTAAATGCCAGGCCATTTTTCCTGCCTCCTCTAATCAATTTCTTTCTTTTTTTTTATTAAAAAGTTTTATAAAAATTACAATATTAACCCACCCAAAAAACCCCCCACTCCCTCCTCCACTTCCCAGAGCTGAATACAGGGTTACAAATATGATAATCATAATCTAACTAACATTACCAGCTATATAAATAACCAAATCCATAATGCACTTTAACTCCCCTTTAACTGATCAATTTCTTTATTAGATCTATATCTCATCTTTTCCGTGTATGCACAAGACATGTATAATACTCTTTTTATTTGCTCCCCGTAATAGCAATCTTGTGAGGAGCATAGTACTGAGAACGGGCCTGGCATAATCATCCAGGAATTTTTGTGGCTAAGGGTGAACTAGAACCTAAATTTCTGTAATCTAGCTTGACACCTTAAGCCTGCAGTACGCTGGCTCTCTTTTATCATAATTTCTTAATCCCCAAACCTTTCTGTAAACTTCCAGACTTTTGTAGCCTTAATATCATTTCCCAAGGTTATACAGTGTCTTGTGACTTCTTCAGCATTTTATGGTCTTTCCTCCTCAAAGAAGCCAGGCTGCTCACTGTGTTCGTCTCTGAAGGAGCTGAGTATTTCTTGACATCATAGCAGCTCAGCCAATCTGTCTCAGAGATGTCGCTGCCATTAAGTGTAATGTGGTAAATGTTTTTTATTACTGTACATTGGCAAAACCAAATGTATCTTGACAAGAGCCATTGCCCCTGCCATTAGCTGAAGAGCCAGTGTAGGTCCTGATGGGCATGATGTGGACATTGCATTTGTGGCTTAACAATCTTTTTCATCACACTTCTTCCCTCCCTTCCCTCAGATTTCCTTAGAGAATGGAGATGCCACAACTCCAGAGAAGAACAGCTCCTGTGCCTCAGGTACTAGTCTAGTAGAGTCCTGTGTTGTTAAGTCTAAGTAAGTAACTCTGGCCAGTTTTCTTTACTTTCTTGAAAATACTGAGAGTTGAAATATGGACTTGGGTACTGTTCTTCTACTCCAGACATGTCAAACACAAGGTCCGGGGGCCGGTTGCGGCCCGCAAAGTGGTTTCATGTGGTCCGCAAAGCCATCCTAGAAACAGTGAGGGAATGGCCCCCGCTGCCTTGGCCCTGGCCAACTCGAAGCCAATGTACAATTTTGTGGTGGCCATCTATGCTGAAACGCATTCAGTCTTAGCTCCACAAGGCTGTCTGGAAACAGCGAGGAACCAGGAGAACCTTGAGCAGCAGCCTTGAGGAAGTGGGGCTGGGTTTGGTGCCATGGGTGCTCAAGGGCCAGGCTGGGCATTTGACCTCTGCAGCCTGCACCACCATCCAGCCCCCCCCCGCATGGCCTGAGAGGAACAGTGAGGCTCCTCCAGTGGACCATGCCTTGGCACTTGCCCTGGTCCCACCCCCTTCTGCCAGAGACCCTCAGATCTATGCCCAGGCTCCCACAGGCATCCTTGACGCGAACGATGTAGAGCTGGCCACGCCCACCCAGTAGGCCACACCTACTCCATGCCCACCCAGCAGGCCGCATCCACCCTGGCCACACCCACCCGGCTCCCTGAGGGCAACTGCAATGCTGATGTGGCCCTCAATGAAATTGTGTTTCACACCCCTGTTCTACTCCATCTCATCATTTTGGGTTAAAACTTGTCTATCAGCTGTTTGTGGGAAGATGAATTCCCTGTTCGGTGATTAAAAATAAGGAAATGGGGCTGTTTTCTTTACAACCTTTATGCTTCCCTTGCAGACCTGGAGATGCTTTGTTCTTACCTGCCACAGCTGCAAGGCCCTGTCCTAGAGCTGGCAGATGCCGTCCGCCTACCTTTAGAGGAGCTGCTAATGGAAGGGGATCTTCTTGAGGTGACGCTAGATGAGAGCCAGAGCATTTGGCGCTTGCTACAGGCTGCTTGTGCTCCCCAGCTTCACAAATTCCAGCAGCTACTGGATGTGAGTATCATTCTGACGGTCAGCAGATACTATGAGTTCTCCTCATTTGTGTGGGTTTCCACGTCTTCTTCGTGAATGTGTTAAGGCTGCCTCTAATAAAAAAGGCTAAGGAAGCATTTTTAGCCACAAAATTTGCCACTTTTGTTAGTATCTCAGGAGCCGAGTCAGATTTTAAGATTCTTTGAAAGTTGGTATGACACAGGAAAGGGTAAATACGTGTGCGGCTTTAACACAAAACAGTGACAGTCAACTACAGAAATGACATTTTTTTCCCCCTTCCTGTGTGATGGCTTATAGTAAGAGATAGAGGTACAGGCCAGGATATCTGAATGCAGATTTTTTTTTTTTTCATCAGTTACCCATGTTGAAATCATTTGATTGAAAAGTTTTATTATCTGTATGGAGGACTTGGGGAAAGTTTGTTGAGCTGTACAAGATGAAAGGGGATGGTTCCTATGCTAACAGCTAACATGAAAAATGTCTTTAGGGATTTGAGCTGTGGTTTCAATATAATTTCTGAACGTTTCGTTACCAAACTGGGTAACATCAGCAGCAGGATTTTCTTGTCCTATTCTCCTTAGCTCAGTGGTGGTGAACCTATGGCACATGTGCCAGAGGCGGCACTCAGAGCTTTCTCTGTGGGCACCCACACCATGCCCTGGAGATGGCAACTGTCCTTCTTCAACCAGCTGCCCGCTAACTCACCGAGGTCCCACATGGCCAGATGCATCCCAGCATGGCTGGTTTCCCTCCCCTCCGTCCCATCCCTCCTGGCCTTGCATGCTCTCCTTTTCCTGGGCACGAACCACTGCATCGTCTCCTCAGCTGTCGGCTATCCGTCCAGCTCAGAGGCGGCTTCTCTGAACTGCTGGCGGCGGGCTGTGGAGCCCCAGAGTGTGCCGGTCAAGGGGCTGGCAGGCTGTGGCTGCTGACAGACACTGTCAGCCCCCATGTGCTCGCTGTCCTCTGTGTGTGGGGTCTGATGGTATCGGGCCGCAACCGCCCTGGCCCCTGCCTCGCCTTGCCCTGTGACAATGGCACCCCTGCCCTGCCTTGCCTTGCCTCGCCTCACCCCGCAGGATGAGCCTTCTGCCCACCGCCCCACCTGCCAGAGACGCCCTGGATTTCCCCCTGCCCGGCCCCCACAAGCGTCCCTCCACACGTGCAACGTCAAAGTGACCACACCCACCTTGGCCACACCCACCCAGTCTGCCATTACTACCATAGCCACGCCCACCCAGTGGGCCACGGCCACCTGGCACCCGGCGATAAATAAGTGGGTTTTGGGTTGCAGTTTGGGCACTCGGTCTCTAAAAGGTTCGCCATCTCTGCTTTAGCTTATAAATGTCTTGACAAGAAAGGACAATAAAATCCTGCTGATGATATTAACCTAGTTTGGTAACGAAACGTTCAGACATTATATTGAATTATATTGAAACAAGCTTGGAGAACAAACCGCAGCCAAACTCTAAAACCCGAGCTACAAGTATTTTCTATTATTTCAATGTCTTTCAAGTGGGTCATTTTTCAAAACTTGGAATTTTTAAGGTTTCCCCCCACATTTTTCAGTAACTGCAGCAGTTGTTATCTTTGGAACATCAAAGAAAGCCAAAATTGCAGCATCCCAGCCCTTTGCTTTTTCTAACTGTACAGGTAGTCCTTGACTTACAACCATTTGTTTACTGACCGTTCAGAGTTACAATAGCACTGAAAAAAGTGACACATGGCTATTTGTTTCACTTGCGACCATCGCGGTTACAGCATCCCCATGATTGCGTGATCAAAATTCAGACGCTGGGCAAGTGGCACGTCTTTAGGACCGTTGGGAGTGTCCCAGGGTCCCGTGATCCCCTTTTGCGACCTTCTGACAAGCAAAGTCCACAGGGAAGCCAGATTCACGTCACAACCGTATTACTGATTTAACAGCTGCAGTGATTCACTTAACAATTGCTTAGCAGCAGAAATTCTGGGTTCGGTCACGGTTGTGAGTCGAGAACTGCCTTATCCCACACCAAGCATTTTCTCAAGTCGCTATGATACGTGTCTCTCTACGTTCACAGATTTTTGTCGTTATGTTCTTATATACTGGGGAGTATTAAAGCCTTCAGTAAATGAGGATGGGAAATGAGCAAAACCTCTTCTGCTTATAGAAGCTTTCTTTCTTCAGCATTTGGTGACTGGGGGGGGGTGTTGCATCTTCAATACTCTCCCCCTATTTAAGAACTGCAACTAGGATGGTCAGAAATACGTAATTATGGCCCCAAAAAAAAAAAAATACCTCAAGTATGTAATTATGCCTTTTAGCCACATTATTGTGTTTGTAAGATTCATCCACGTGATGCCACATATGTGTGCTAAAAGAGTAGGCCTGGTTTTCAGTCCCTGAGCTCTTGTCTTTTTCCAGCTGGAGCAAGCAGAGCGGCGTGTCACCCGCGGGCGAGGCCGAGACTCAGAGCGACGGCGGAAACGCAAGACAGAGCGTGGTGACGGCCCAGTCCTGCCTAAGGAGGAATTAGAGCCAAAGAAGATCCGGGGGGCAGACGCGGTGCTGTCCCAAGGTGGCACTCCCCCTGCAGCAGGCACAGACAGTAGCCACAATGGAGTTGGAGTAAGTGAAGAGGAAAGATGCCACCAAGTTGTCTGGGGGTGTTTACAGGGCAGGTAGGGGTTTTTTTTTATAACAGACTGACCTAGTTCCTAACGTGTTGTAATAATTGTCTTCCCTAGCAGTTGTGACGGCTAGAAGATGCCTGGATTTCTCCTTCCTGGACTATACTGTACTGTAAGGGACTCTGGCAGCCCCAGGTCACTCAGTTGGCTTGATTAGCACTCTGCATGGGGAGGCGCCCAGCCCTAGAAGTTGTGGCTGCATCTCCCCCCACTCCCCAGGACTTGGCACTGGCCCTGCATCAGACTATTTTTCAGATGATGTAATATTTTATTTTCTTTTTCCTCCTTTTGTATCGTCGATAACTGCAGAAAGGGGAGGCGTTGCAGGGGTCACCAACGAGCAGGGCCCGCGTTCTCTTGGCAGAAGCAGCTGAGGGTATCACCGTGTTGCTCTAAGGATTGAAGCCTTGCAGAGATCCGGCACAGGTGGTAAAATGTGCCGGGACATATGCCCGGCTCCTCGCTTCAGGCAGTGAAAGGAGTTGGGGGGGGGGCTCTCTCTCTCTCTCTCGAGAGGAGAGTGTCCTCCTTTTTGTACCAGCATTCCCTGGATACTGCAGGGACAGCACCTCCTGTTGCACAGAGGGGCAGCTCTCCCTAGACACCCCTATCCTCCTGGTACCTGTTGGGTTTTATAGGAATTGTGGTAACCACTTTATTCTGTAGGGTGGTGGAAAAGGCAAGGAATATTTTAGTTCCACTCCAGCCACTACTCCACCCTCATCGTCCCACCTCCAAATCACGGGCCCCCTACTGCCTCAGGCTCTGACACTAAAAAAAACCTTTTGTCTTTCTCTTTTTAGTGTTTTCCTTTATTTTCTCCAGCAGAGAAGGGTGGGATGTTGGGGGTAGGGAGGGGTGTGTTATTTTATTGTATTATGATTTTTTTATTATTATTAAACTTTGGAGGTTAACAAATTTACTTGGATCTTGGGATAAAGACGACCTGGTCAGTTAGAGTTGCTGGTGGCAGTTGTGAGCATGCCCAGTTTCACACCACATATTGTCAGTACTGTAGCTTGTTTTCTAATTTCCTACTATGTAGGAGCATGACCCTAGAGTAACGAGAAGCCCTGAGTATCTGTTTCCTTGTTTCAAACCTGAATTTTTGTATCATGGTTCTCAGTGAGGTGTAGTATGAAATGGTTCTTTCACATTACTAATCGTTGTTGTAGATAATTATATTTTGTTTTCTCTGATTGTTAGATACACATAATCAGAGAATTGCAATTCTTGCAAAAATAATATATTGCCAATGACAAAAAGCTAAGAATATTAGGAACAAATCTTTCAGACCAGTGAAATGTAATAAAATTTCCTGAAATATTTCAGAAACAAACAAACAAACAAAAAAAAAACATCCAGAGAAGTAGTAGGACCAGTAGGTGAAGACAAAAAAGTAGAAATATGATAAGGCAAGTGAGTAGAACAGTGTTTCTCAACCTTGACAATTTTAAGGCATGTGGACTTCAACTCCCAGAATTCCACAGCCAGCAACGCTGGCTGTGGAATTCTGGGAGTTGAAGTCCACATGCCTTAAAATTGTCAAGGTTGAGAAACACTGGAGTAGAACATGAATTTGTCAGTTTCATTCCAGAGGAATTTAAGAATCTTTTTGGAGAATGCACCTTTAAAGATATGCTAAGCAAAGGTGATCAGAGGGTTCATAATAATTAAAGGAGAAACTGTTAATATCGAATGGGCTACATAATTATTTAACCACGATTTCTTAATTTTAATATAAAAGTTTGAGCTAAAATGTATGACTTATAAAAAGTGGCATTTTCTGTATATTTGTAGAAAGCATTATTATACTGAAGGTAGTTGAATACACACCTTGGACAAGCCGAGGAAGAATTAGCATGGATTCTGTAAGAGAAAAATCTTAGAATTCTGTGTCTCAGATGTGAAATTAGTGATCATCGAAAGATCGTTGTGTACTTGAAATGTTCAAATGCTTTTCACAAAAATCTCATACCAAAGCTTATACTGAATGAGAGGATATATCTTCCCATGCCTCAACCTTTATCTAGGAAAAATGCAAGTAAAGACACCAAAATACTCTTAAATTTAAGAAATGAGGCATAGCAAAAATAAATAGGGAATAGCCAAGTTGGCACCCGGCGTTAGATTATGAAATCCCCAGCAGCCTTGGAAAAGAGCTTCGAAAGAGTTTCCCATCATCACATATTTTGGAATTCATTCCGTGAGCTGTGGTGATAACCCCCTTCTTCCCTCAACGCCCCAACTCCAATGGCTTTTTAAAAATAATTCTTCAAGAATAAAGCCGGTAAGACCTATCAAGGGTGCAAAGTAAATGAAATTTAAATGTGTATTACAATTGGGACGATGACCGCAGTATGGACCAACTGTAGATGAAACTTGCGTTTGATCTAATACAGAATCTGTTTGTTCTTGTTCTGGAAAAGCTTATAATCTGAAGGGTTCTTAACCGTTTCTGTTTAAGCTGTCAGAAAGGTGGAGGGAATAGAGATAAAGGCCTCTGTGTTTCTGCCATAAAAAGGTATTTCGTTCAAAGAAGTTGCAACTGTAATTAATACTGAGCGAGCCTCTGTAATGGGTTAAAGCCTCCTGCTTTCTTTTGCCGGAAAAGCAGTTGATACGTATATAGACTGGCATTTGTGCCCACTGTGTCACCAAGCCCATATTCCGTATTTCCTTATTTGGTTACAAAGAGGACAAAAAGAGGAACAATGTGAGTACTTCCATTGAAGCAAGGGTTCCGTTTAATACCTGTGGTATAGGCAGTGCTTGGGATAAACCACTAAATTATTTTGTTAACATTGCCCTCTTTCGGTTCGTGCTAGGGTTGATTCTAACAAGGCTGGATCTTAAAACTACTTGTAACATTGGGCTCACTGTGCGTGGAAATGTTCTTCCTTTCACAAATCCACAATGGCCCTTTTCCATTTTGTTTAGAAAATAAACTGGTATTTTATTTTCTGCTACGTGCTTCTGCAGCATAGGGTTAATAAAATGATGGCGTTAATGTTGAAGGAAGCCCCACAGTTTTCCTTCTATGATGTGAGAGGATGGCATAAGGTTTGGGAATGAATACTGTGGAAAAAAAAAAAAAGAATCTTAAAGCCAAAGCCTTTGCAATTAGCACTGGTCACCTTTCCATTTCAGGAAAGAGCCAGTAAGCCCTGGTCCTGAAAACCCTGGAATTAGCCTGGACACACCACACCACACACTTTGTTAGCCATAGTGTTGTCCCCGCCATCTGGAGGAAGCAAAGAGGTTTTTCCCCATCTCTGGATTCACTCAGCTCTTGCAAAGAGTCCACTGGAATGTCATTCTCTCACGCCAAAGATTAGGTCAAAGCCTTTCCCTGCCCACCACTGTCTTCCGTCCAGCTCAGCTTCGAGGTGGCGTTCGATGCCCTGCCCACGGCTTGGAGCGGTGATGGTGATGATGGCGACGGCGGCTGCTGCTGCTGCTGCTTTGGGAGTGATGGGGACTGCTGGTGGTCCAGTTCAGTGAGGGCTGCTGAGTAGCTCTGTACCAGTAGGACTGCTGTTCAGAACCCCACAGGCTGGGTCCAGCATGGGACTGGTGGCCACCCTGGCTGTGCTGGATGGCTTGGGCTCTGTTGAACTGTTGCCAGTAGCTCTCGCAAATACCCAGGGTGGGCGTCTCTTCAGAGCTGATGGCCCCCTCCAGCAGAGCACGCGGAAGGACGTGCAGACGAAGCCGCCGCAGTGTGTGGCGAAAGCGGTTCTCGGTGCCTATGCATTGGTAGAGGCCACTGTCAGATGGCATCACTGGGCCTAAAAGCACACCCTGAGGTGTTTGAAGCAATATGCGATCCCGGGGCAGCTGGGAAGGAAAGAGCATGTGACATAATTGAAATTGTTTTGCTTTTTTAAATGTGCATCTTACACAACTGTTTCACTAGTCAGCGGCCTAAGTCTGCAATAAGCTGTAGTGTGGTTCGTTTTGAGCTAACGAAGTGTATGTGAGTCTGATTACAGGTTTTGTCAATTCAGCAAAGTTTCAGTTGCCAACTTCAACATCCACCCTAAGACAGCAACTTTAGGTTTTGTTCTTTAAAAAGTGCCCACTGTGTGATCAGACTTTCCAATCCTCAGCTTTAAGTTCCCACAGTCTCGGTGCACACAGCATAAGGTCATGTCTAGTAATGTTTAGCACAGTGTTTCTCAACCTTGACAATTTTAAGGCATGTGGACTTCAACTCCCAGAATTCCACAGCCAGCAATGCTGGCTGTGGAATTCTGGGAGTTGAAGTCCACATGCCTTAAAATTGTCAAGGTTGAGAAACACTGGTTTAGCAGGACTTACCACTTTGCGTTTGGTAGAGTCGTCTGTTTGCATAAGCCACTTGATGGTCGCGTGGGGAGATCGGGGTTCACACTCCAGAAATACGCTTCCTCCTTCTAGTCCGTATTGAATCTGTTCACTTAACTGCTGTTCTGCTGTGATGGGGGGCAGGGGGACCGGGAGGGGAACAGCATTCCTTGAGTTCTGAGACCCCACTGCATCTCAGTAAAGGCTGGAAGTAGACAGTCTGCTAAGCACAAGTCTGGCTTCCAACAGTTGTTGCTATAAAAATATTTAAGAAACCCAGCAGCTATCACCAAAGTTCTGCTAAAGTGAACACCATAGGACTGCTCATTTCTGACTCATTTCTAAAGTGCTGTGCTACTACGACGTATCGCTTTTGCCAGGAAGTGGGAACAAGCTTCAAGGATTTCTCCTAACTCGAACACCGTAAAAAAAAAAAAAAATGAAGCATTTCTAGGAAGTGGTCCTTGGATGCAGTAGAAATTATAAGAACCTGTTACTCCCTGGGGTTGTCCTGTTCAGAGCGAGAACAATCTGGTGGTTGTCCACTGTAAAAATGTGTGCAAAGCAGACTCCTAGTTAAGCTTTCAAGTACTACAAAGGCAACAAAATAAAACTTTTTACAATACAGCTCTTGCCAGTGTCTGTGCTATCTTGGGCTGATGGGAGTTGAAGTCCAAAACATCTGGAAGATATAAACAATGTAATCTATCCAGGACCGCCTAGAAGTAGGCCCCTTTTCATTCCCCGGCAGTTTAAACAGAGCATGTGCACAATTACAGCCTAGTCTGTTGCTAGACATCTTCATTTCCACCTCTTTTTTTGTGTGTTAATTGTTAAGTAATACAAGTTTTGCCACATAAAGCAGGCTTGCCTAAGTGATGGCTTGCATGCCCAATGGGGAACTTGTGCAAAAAAGGCATCATGCTCCCTTTGTGGATCAATAAGACACTTTTGCTTTTTTCCATGGATCAGCTGTGCAACAGTTTGAAGGTGGGAGTGGGGAGTGAAATCATTCAGCAAGTATAGGTGTGTGAGAAATTGAATATGCAGAGTGTGTGCAATGGGGCTGGACACAAGAGAGAAGAGAGATATGAATACATGGGACTATGATTTTGGATTCAGCCACTGCTGGCTTCAGGAAAGTTGCTCATAAAAGAAATGCAATCTAGGATAAGGGAACAGTTTCCTAAGCCAAGTCACAAAATTATGAGCTCTGTGAAAAACATGATACAATTATAAACTGCATCAGGAAGAGTAGCTTAATAGGGGCAGTCCTTTTATTTGCAGAAGTGCTAGTAAGTTATCCAAGGAGTCTAAAGAAAGAATCCATGTGCCTTTTGATTTAGAGTTTTATCAGTTTCCATGGAGATTTAAGTTACCAAAAATAGGATGGTGGAAACCATGCACTGGTGTTGAGGTCCAATTCATATAACTTTCTTGGTTGGGTTACAGAAACATCATCTGGAATGTTTCTCAACTTTCTCAGTCTAGCCAAGCATCTGAAAGAGGTAACTTGTTAAGTTAGCAGAAGCTACACTAAATGGTCCATGGGGAGATAATCACTAGAGCTACTGCTAGATTTTGCACTACACTATGTGGTTCACTTGTCCTTTACAGCTTTAAGTAGTTGTCTGACACAATACTCAATTCACTATTTCAATAACCAGGACAACTTAAACAAAAAACTACTAGCAGTTCCCCAAAGAGTGATTTCCTTGTATCTACCTAACAGTATATACATCTACCACCGTGTTCTATGTTGTTGCACAATTTTACTCTTGCAATTAGGGGAGAAGCAATGCCAACCAAAATATGAGATGCTGTATTCAGAAAATCTAAAGAGATAAAATCCAAAATGTGATACAGTCTTTTTAGAAGTGAAAGTGAAAAAGACAAAGCCCCCAAAGAAGTAAAGAAGGTAGATGCAACTGAGAGAAAAACCTTATGAAACAAGACATCAATGAAAAAGTATAAATCACTTTCCCCAATCTGGTGCCCTTCAAACAGTATCTGATATTTTCTAGGACTTTAAGATCCTCTAATCTCCTCTGGGGAGACAGTGAACAATCATTACCAAAGATACCACGCTTCAAAAAGCAGGAGGAGCCCACTGCTTAACATACAAATGCAGGAAAGTCTTAAGATTATTAATTCCAGTTGTAAATGTCAAGGAGCTGTTATCTAATTATAGCTGTACAAAACCCATGTATCCGGCTCTCAATAAAGGTATGAAAATAGCATAGGAAAATAAAAAGCACAGGAAGAGCTAAATTAAAATGCAGTGCTTTTACTCAGATAAACTTTTATTTCCCACTGTACAATTTTGCATCCTTTTCCAAGATACGCCTGGCCAACCAGACACGTAACTTATCTTGTTTCCATTCCAGTAGCCAGCCAAGTGCTCTTTCCTCTAACGTGCCTAGCCATCAGTAGAAGAACAGCATCACCTAGGAATTCCTTAC